TACATTTTTCAGAAAATTATTTTCTTACTGGTTACACTGGGGATTAAAATTAGCAACTTAATCTAAACAATCTGCTTAGATTATGCCAATGTAATTTCAATAGTATAAAACAAATTTGCTGTAATATAGCTCCGTTTCCTCCTCCTTTTTGAATTACATCTGTATACATTATAAAGTGAATCTTCACAATTTTATAGCTATTGTTTTATGCAGTTATTCTTTAAATCAGATAACAGAAGATAAATATGTTTATTCTGTCTACTGTATTTACCTATGTAGTAACCTTTACTGGTGCTCTTTATTTTTTTGTATGGACTCTAGTTACTGCCTTCCTGATTCTGCCTCTGCAATTATAATTTGTTTGCTATTTTCTCACACTAGACTGATTTGTCACCATCAACTATTATTTATCTTAAGTTCTCTTTGAAGAATGCTGAATAAAGAGCAACAGAAAACTTTGTGATAAGAGCTGGGAAGGAGAAGGTCTTTCAAAGCCCTTGAAAAGCTGAACTATAGTTTCAGACCCAAGTATCTATTACAGTCCATTCTCAGTACCTCACACCATAGCTGATACAGAGTATGTGCTGAATAAATGTGAAATAAATTAACACAAGCACATGATGATTAAGATTTAGTGTTGAATTATATGAAAGGTCTGAACTAGGAAAAATGCCGACAGATAAATGAAAGGGTCAAGCAAGCTAACTTCTTTAAAAAAAATAAGTTTTAGAAAATAATCTGTAGAATTTCCTGAGTACTCTGAGTCAAATTGCCAAAAAGAGAGAAACAGAGAGAGAGAGAGAGAATTTAAGTAGTTCACAGCAATGTGTTAGCTAATTCTTTTAATGAGGCTTAAACTCCTTGAGAAAGTCAGACAAGGACACACAATTTGCTCACTAATAATCTTACACTTACTAATTCAAAAGCACACAACAGATTTCATGCATCTCTGTAATTTTAAGCAAATAGGACAAGCTCTTCATTTGATGGCTCACTTAATGTAGCCTATGGCACACATAATACCTTACAACTTTGTTTATAGACACTGACAGTTGGAAATTGAGAGTTGCTCAAGCAGAATTCTATGTAATCACCCATTTGAGGTTAATTCACTTTATTGTGGCTGCTAAAGTGAGTTCAGCTGAACTTGGCATTTTCCATTCCAATCTGTTTTGTAAATGATTTTAGTTTCACAGCCCAAACATTTTACTGCAAATCTTCTGAATCGTGTGGCTTGCACTAATCAGCATAGTTCATGAAAAGAATGTGGATTATTTCTGAGTCTGTGATGCAATATATTTTAAACTTTATTTCAGAGTTTGGGAAATTTCAAACTATACGCTTAAATGGTGGAAAATTAAATTGTTTGGATTTTGGTGTCACTCATTTATTTAACAAACTTTTTAAAACATTTTCTGTGGCCGGGCGTGGTGGCTCACACCTGTAATCCCAGCACTTTGGGAGGCCAACGTGGGCGGATCATGAGGTCAGGAGAGTGAGACCATCCTGGCTAGCATGGTAAAACCCTGTCTCTACTAAAAAATACAAAAAATTAGCCGGGCGTGGTGGTGGACACCTGTAGTCCCAGCTGCTCAGGAGGCTGAGGTGAGAGAATGGCGTGAACCCAGGAGGTGGAGCTTGCAGTGAGCCGAGGTCGCGCCACTGCACTCCAGCCTGGGTGACAGAGTGAGACTCTGTCTCAAAGAAAAAAAAAAAAATTTTCTCTGATGGTACCATGTAAACTTTAGGGTAACCATGGTATCATGGTAAAGTTTTACCATGTTAAAGTAACAAGACAGATACATTACAACCTTTAAAGAGTTTTAAATGTGTGCCAATTTGTAAATAAATGAACAAGAAATTATAAGCATATATTTTATACAATGCACACTAACTAGTAAAAATAAGGAAATAGGGCATAATCTTAACACTGAGCATTCCCCAACAAAATCTCAATCCAAATCTAAAACATCTTTATTTCCACATGCTATTAATTGCTTTTTCCCCTTCAAGAAATTCTAATCCATTTCTACAAACGTTTATCAGAGTAACTGGGCAATAGATTCTCTATGTCCTCTTTTATCTAAATTTCCCCGGCACTTTCTCCTATTCTACTTGCTTTTTCCTTATGAAAAAAGCAACTGATGTGTGCTGAGCACGTGCTATTTCTAGGGGTACAAAGATGACAGCGAGACAATCTTTATCTTAGTAGAGCTGACAGACAAATAAGAAGCACTATGTTGGTATTTCCATGTGCATTTAAAAAAACAGAAACAATCACACACACCAATTCAACACATGCTCGTTATTTTAGAAATATAAGTACAATTAGTTGAGAGGCCATTATTAAACAACATCTATTAAGATATTTTGTTTAATGAGCACTTTCTATATTTAGGCACTGGAGTTAATTCATCTAAGCAAGCTTATCCAACCCACCTAATATTTTGCTGTTGCAGTTCTCTTTTGGTTTTTTTTTTTTTTTTTTTTTAGGCTTTTAGCAGCCTGAAGCCATGGTTTTTTGTTTCTGTCTCTAGTAATAAGCAGAAAATAGGGATGAGGAATGGGTTTTACTGGCCCAACCAGAAATAGAAACTAAGAACCCACAACTGTGTTCTCTCCCTTGGACACCCCTGAATACATGTAACAAACCTATGAGGAAGATGGTATGTGACCCCATTTTAAAGTTAATAAAGGGAGTCACAGAAATTTAAGTCATTTACAAAATTCATGTAACTACTAAGTGGTGGAGTGAGGATTTAAATTCATACAGTCTGGCCCTTGTGTTTTTGACTTCTCTGTAGTGTATCATTCCAGATCATTCATTCCCACCTTGTAGGAAGCGCCCCATTGCCCTGTGATGTGTGGTGTCTTTCTGTCAGAGAAGAATGCTTCCCCTCTTCATGGTCAAGTTTAACCACATGACTTGTTTAGCCAATGAAAAGTGAGATGTAACACATGTCGGTTCATAAAAGACATTAAGAGAAAATATACTTTTCTTCCAGTTTCCTTTTTCTCTCAGTCTCAGAATGGCATGTGCCAGAAAGTACCATTTCTTCAGACTAGGTTCTGGAATAAGAAAACATACGGAGCACAGTGCCCCGGCCAATCCTCACCACTGACCTGTAATATGAGTGAAACAGAACTGTTGTTGCAAATCACATTTTTTTTTTTTTTTTTTTGAGACGGAGTCTCGCTCTGTCGCCCAGGCTGGAGTGCAGTGGCCGGATCTCTGCTCACTGCAAGCTCCGCCTCCCGGGTTTACGCCATTCTCCTGCCTCAGCCTCCCGAGTAGCTGGGACTACAGGCGCCCGCCACCTCGCCCGGCTAGTTTTTTGTATTTTTTTTAGTAGAGAGGGGGTTTCACCGTGTTAGCCAGGATGGTCTCGATCTCCTGACCTCGTGATCCGCCCGTCTCGGCCTCCCAAAGTGCTGGGATTACAGGCTTGAGCCACCGCGCCCGGCCCAACAAACCACATTTTTAAATAGAAGAATAACCTAGCAAAACATGACAGATACAATAACAGGTACTAGGAAACAGGATGCTGTAGTAACAAACACCCTAAATTATAAGCATTGGCTTCACAGGGAGGTGGAGAGTGCTGAGAAAACTATCACCAACATCTAGAAAATCACCACTCATGTGTCATAATGGTCCACATTTGTTTTTATAGTAACAAATGATGGGAAACAAAATTTTAATAAATGTTGCTACTGGTTGCACTTGTAAGGTCATAAAAGAAATGACTTCTTTGTAAAAGTAGAGGAAAGGGGAACATTTGAAATTATGAGCCATGTAGTGTTGAAAAATATGAGTGTTGCTCATATCCAGTCAGTGACAGATGATCTTGAAAAATGCTTTGAATAACAAGGGTTGATTTAAAAAACAAAGACACATCCTCAAAGACCAAATAAAGTGTTTGTGAAATATTTTTAATGAATTAAGGTGACTCCAGTAAATCTTTTCAGTTGGATAAAATGTGTCAGAGAAAACTGACTAATGGCATGGCTTTCCACAAGCCTGATAAACTAAATATTGACGGTAAGTTTAAAGAAGGAGGGAAATAGATCTCTGAGAATTATGGCATTTTAAGATACATTTTACAAAATGTGACAGACTGAGCCACATCGTTTTTATCTCTATCTTACAAACCACTAAATGTGTTTGTTGGTGATTTGCTTTGCATCATCAAGGTTTAACTTAAATGTTACCTTCCCTGGATTAGATACCCTTTTAGTACATTTTGCTCTGATTCTCTGTGCTTATATTTAAAGAAATTTTCACCCTGCATCTGACCATGTCCCTTCTCTAGACTATGAATTCCTCGATGGCAAAAAGTAGAATTTTTAGCTTTTTTTTGTGAGACGTGTATGTGAATGGTTCATGATATATATTTGAGGAATGAATAACTGAGTGAGTGAATACAAACATTCACTGATACAGCAGAATTATCTAACAAAGTGTAGTAACCCCAAATCAGCATTATATAGTTTTAAAAATTATACATTCTGCCTGAGTCATAATCTTCTAAAGAATGAGATATTTGCAGTTGGAGATTTAACCCATATGTTCAAATGTATTAAATAAATCTGATTATAAATATAACCTTTTAGACTTACAGTCTCAAAAACTCTAAAGGAATTTTTATCTGCTATTTCTCAGAGAAAGCGAAATTAATGTTATGCCTAGACAAAAGTTAATCAATCACAGATGTTAAATTTTGTTTAAAATGTAAAGCACTTTATCAGGTTATAAAATACATTTGCTAAATATTACTCTTAAAAATACCTAGACATATTTCTATGTCTAGGTTCTCATTATTTTAGAAGAACACACAATATGATAATTTTCTGAACATGTTATGTTGGTTCAATGTATTCTTCAATTTTGTTTATACATGCATCCTAAAAAAAAACACAGGCAAATTATTTGGAAGGAATAGCAAATAACAAATTATATGTGGAGGAATAACACACACAAATTATTTGAAACTACATACCTGTCGACACCAGAGTTTACGAAATATTTGCAGATAAGCCAACACCATAAGACACAGTGGTGCCATATATGTCACCAGAAAGAAACAGATGTGGTACATCTTGGGATAAATTTCACCTGGGATGAAAATCAAAACAACAAAAGCTTACATTATAATTGATGGACTTTTTAAAAAGATACATGTCAATGCTTTTCTTCAAAGTACATATTTACCTTTTATTTGATGTCATTGTCATATTATATATGCAAAGGGGAAAATAATTCATAATATTTAACAACTTACCTTTACTCAGTATATGTGTATACACATACCAAATGTAAAGTCTTAATTTCACTTAGTGTACTCAGATAAAGAACAATTAGTTATTTCTTAATTTGTGCTACCCAAAGTCAAGTGTTCACTTATTTAAAGGCCCTTTATTTGACTTGATTACATCTGGCTAATTAACAAAATTAATTTTGGTTATTCTAAACTTTCATTTACAAAAAGGGACATGACTCAATGAAAACCTAATAACTAATGCTTTGGTTAAAATCGGAAGAAAATATAAACTCAATTGATTCTTCCTTATTAGAATGTAAGTTCCCTGAGAAATGGGAGGCTATTCCCAGTTGTACCTCCAAATACAAATATGAAAAAAATTTTGAAAACTAAATACGATAAAAATTTGACAATGATTCTTTTTGTTGACTTATTGGAACCTATACAAAATTCCTTCTTAAGCATAGTATGTCTGTGGTGTGTGTATGCTTTTATTAAAAATACATATATGCACTTTTAATAACAAGAATTTTAAGGCTTTATAACATTAATTTTCTCCAATCCAATATGAATATTTTCTCACTTGTTAAGCATAAGCACCTCTAGGACTGCAGTAATTTTTTTGTTTATCATTAATCCTATGTGCACAGATGATACACATCACAGATTAGCCACTTATGAACAAGTCGATTAATGACTTCATGGCATTGTGGTTTAATATTTTAGCTTTCGTAAATTATATTGATTACTAACCTTGTAAATACTTTAGAAGATATATATATATATTCCCTACCTATTACATATTATATGTTCCCTACCTATTTTATATATAATATATATAATTATATATTATATATAGGGAATCTGAATTTATTTCTGTATTTATTTTTTAAAATTTTTTATTCCAATAGGTTTTGGAGGAACAGGTGGTGTTTGTTTTTATTTTGATAGGTTTTAAGGGAACAGGTGGTGTTTGGTTTTACTTCAATAGGTTTTGAGGAAACAGGTGATATTTGGTTACATGAATCTTCACTGGTGATTTCTGAGATTTTGGTGCATCCATCACCCACGCAGTGTACACTTTACCCAGTCTGTAGTCTTTTATCCTTCACCCCCTCTCTTACAATTTCCCCTGAGTCCCTGAAGTCCATTTTATCATTCTTATGCCTTTGCATCCTCCCACTTATGAGTGAGAACACATGTTGTTTGGTTTTCCATTCCTGAATTACTTCAATTAGAATAATGGTCTCCAAATCCATCCAGGTTGCTGGGAATGCCATTATTTCATTCCTTTTTATGGCTGAGTAGTATTCCATGGTATATACATACCACATTTTCTTTATTCACTTATTGATTGATGGGCATTTGGGCTGGTTCTATATTTTTCCATTTGCGAATTGTGCTACTGTAAACATGTGTGTGCAAGTATCTTTTTAGTATAATGACTTATTTTCCTCTGGGTAGCTACCCAATAGGGAGATTGCTGGATCAAATGGTAGATCTACTTTTAGTTCTTCAAAGAATCGCCACACTGTTTTCCATAGTTGTTATACTAGCTTACATTCCCACCAGCAGTGTAAAAGTGTTCCCTCTCCACCACATTCATACCAATGTCTTATTTTTTGGCTTTTTGATTATTTGATTATGGCCATTCTTGTAAGAGTGAGGTGGTATTGGCCAGGCGCAGTAATTACAGGCATGAGCCAATACCACCTTTCTCTTACAAGTGTTATTCCAATACCACTAATTCCAATAATAAGTGTATTATTACTAATAACACTTGTACGAGTAAGGTGGTATTGGCTCATGCCTGCAATCTCAGCACTTTGGGAGACCAAGGCAGGAGAACCTCCTGCAGGAGGTTGCAGACAGCCGAGATAGCACCACTGCACTCCAGCCTGGGTGACAGTGAGAGGCTCCATCAAAAAAAAAAAAAAAAGTAAAGTGGTATTGCATTGTGGTTTTGATTTGCATTTCCCTAATTATTAGTGATATTGAACATTTTTTTCATATGTTTGTTGGTCATTTGTGTATCTTCTTTTGAGAATTGTCTATTCACGTTCTTAGCCAACTTTTGATAGGACTGTTTGCTTCTTTTCTTCCTGATTTGTTTGAGTTCCCTGTAGATTTTAGAAGGTATTTTTATACTAGCTAGTATTTGAATGTATCACAATGGTCTATCTAGTTTTACTGCAGTGTAAAAGAGGAAACAATATATCCTGCATAGATTCCATAGATAGACATTAAATGTAATAACTCATTATAATTCTAATTGAATGCTAACACAACAGGGGTGTTTTGTTTTTCTTCTAAAAATTACATACTTTATTTTGACTTTTCTATTGGCAAGGAGATTTATCCCATATTATTATTGAGGAATAATGCTATTACCTCTATGCATTTTATTCTTTTCATTTCTTCTTAAAAGGGATGTAGAAGCATGAAAGCTTGGTTACATGATTAAATTTGTGATAAGGGCAGTTTATAGTCAGGATTAATCAATAATAATAAGCATGATGATTGTGATAATAATAGATAATATTTATTGAGCAATCATGATTTGATTCTTGCTGAATATATTTTAACATATTTATGAGTTTAATATCCTCCACAATCTTATTTCTATAGCCTGTCTTTCAGATGCCGTTGAGTTTGAGTCTAATGTTCTCCACATTCATCCTAAACCCATCTTATCTTTCGGTTTAGATGTCTTTATCTGTTGCAGTCTTCAGGGGGGTCAGCAGGATGCATGTGTTGGCAGGTCTAAGAGACCAATTTGAGGTGTCATTTGTAGTTTCTCTCTGGCCCAGGTAGCACTCACCTACCTCATCAGTTTCTAACTTCCTTTAAAGTTGATCCTGTAAAACAGGCCAGTTACATAAAAAGTGATAACATTCAAGCATTTCTGACTGGAGGAATAACAAACAGTCTTTCACTTTGAAGTGCCACAGCCTACACAGCATTTGTTGGGCCAATTTCAAAGGAATCTGAAAGTGACCTCGGCACTTCCCAGGCACCTAAGAGGCTTTGAACTTTTATTTGTTTTGAAGAAGTGTCACATGAGCTTTCCACATTAAAAAATCTATATAACTTTGAAGCTTACGTACCTGTGAAGCCCTGATGTCTGCGTAAGACAAATTGAGTGGATAGAGGAAAGCAGATTTGACAGGTAACTTTTTTCCACTGCAGCTATGGATAGCATCACGGTGATAACAGTTTGGCGTTTTGAATAGATGGTAGCAAAAACTCCTTATGTGGTTGGTATATTTATGAATAATTAGAAAAAAACATGTAATTGACTGCTAAATGCACATTATGATAATGAACACTGATATGGAAAAAAGATCAAGCAAAATTATACTTCCAGGGTAGGATAGATTGTTTTAATAAGGAGATTATAATAGATAATTGGGGAAACATGATAGTCTTAAATTCCTCATTTTACACTTAGAGTCTAAGCTGATTAAAAAATCAGATATGCCATTGAAATTTTAAATTATGTGTGATGAAAATAAAGTATTTCTGCACTTCATAAGCAGTGTCTTCAATGTATTTAAGACATTTGTATATAACCTAGAATATAGCTACACAAACTTTGTTCCATATATGCATTACTTTAATTTTAAAAAAGTATTTTAAATATTGATAATCATTAAAAATTACTGTTTTTACTCAACTGCTGAATAAGCACAATCTAAATAAATGTTATATATATATATATGAAACTAACTAATAAGGAACAAATGTGGATCTTTAGTCTTTGAAATCAGAGATTAAAGAGTCATATCATATATTTGACAGGCAAAACTTCATTTCTGTCAGATGAGTTAAGGTTCATTATTCAGCCAGCATGTTATCTTAATTATCTAGAAACTACAAACATTCCTCTTTCATGGTACACGTATCAGGAATTCAGTGAACAAGTAAATTAAATATAATTTCTCAATATTCAACTTGACTGTCTTTTCAAAGTTTAGGGGTGCATTAAATTTACCTAATGTTTAACATGTTTTAATATCTTCTCCCGAACAAATAGGTTTAATAAAACTTCCCATTAATAGACATATACACATATTTATATGCTTTCAAATCTCATAACAGGCCAGATGCCATAATTACTTTGACTGTAAAAAGGGTTCCAATTTTTTAGCCCACCAAAGAACAATTTCTCAGTAATATTCAAAAAGAGAGATATTACTAATCTCCAGTGTTCAGAACAGTTGACCAACAGTACATGATAATTAAACTCTGAATGAATGGTGAAGAAATTATAACTTTGATTGAGTGTATAAAAAGAGTTATTTTCTTTCTTTTTGGAGACAGGGTCTTGCTCTGTCACCCAGGCTGGAGTGCAGTGTCGTAATCTTGGCTCACTGCAACCTCCCCCTTTCGGTTTCAAGCTATTCTGCCTCAGCCTCCTGAGTAGCTGGAATTACAGGCACCTGCCACCACACCGGGCTAATTTTTGTATTTTCAGTAGAGACAAGGTTTCACCATGTTGGCCAGACTGGTTTCGAACTCCTGACCTCATGATCCACCCATCTCGGCCTCCCAAAGTGCTGGGATTACAGGTGTGAGCCACCACACCCGGCAAAGAGTTTCCTTCTATAGGATCTTTCCTGTAGAACTATGCATTTACAAACCAAGCAATCAAGAATTGTGGGTTAATTTAAAAATTTTAGAAGTATGAAATGATGAGACTGAAGCAAAGAGTGAACACATACAAATGTATATTTTAAAGATTATTAAAATAAGTATTAACATTCTTTATATGTTCTTGAGTGTTGTGTGTGTCTGCCAGAAATCATGGCTTATGGTTCTTTTCAGGAAGAATTAATGGGCAATAATGAATAGAATTAGATTTAGAAATCATTTATCCATACATAATTACATATTTCTGGTAAATATTTTAGTTAGACAGAGTTCTCAGTTATTTTGCACCATGAGTAAAACAGCATTTACAGAACTTTTCCAAAAGTTATTTGATAGATATGTATCAACTGGCCAAATTGCTTTTCTGAACTTTTTTCCACTGCAATATTGGTTGTAGGATAATTATGATATCACTCTCTGTTTTTATAACTACATTGTTGATTTAACTTAGAATAAAGATAAGAAACACAGATTATGAATTAATCTCAAATGGAAGGTATTTTACAATAGTCTTTAAAAGCAGGCTAAATGACAGTTGGCTTTTTAAAATCTTTGAATTTAGAGAGCCGACACTGTAAAATATACTTTCCTATAGTTTTTTAAGTTGTGACAATCACACATATGCAAAGGTTTAACATTATAAGTTGAACATGGACTTATAAATAGTTTACATGAACAATGATTTTACATGCTATGTAAAAATCATCATAATAAATGTCTAAGAAAAAAGACAAAAATCTGCTTTGAATTATTTTGTGTTTCTTAAAAACGTGAAGTTATTAGCAATTTCATTTAATATTTAAATGACTGTAGAGCTTTTATTAAGTTGGATTTTGTAGATAATCACTTCAATCCAATAATACTTAACTCTCATGTTTATAAGCATTTAATTATAGGCTATTATAAAATCGTCTTCAAATAGTGTTCTTAAATGACTTCTGTAGGCTAAGTTTAGATTTTTAAGTATTCACCAATCATTTTCTTTTTTTTTTTATGAAAATGTCCATACTAGAGTTATGTAATAAAATATCAGAGTAGAAATGAGTTTTATGTATTTATATTGACCACTCAGAGGTAATTTAAACATCATACATCTGTTTACTTAGTCATAATAGCTGAACAGGATTCCATGGCATTGCAGTCTTTTTGTTAATGGAGGTTACCGTTACTTGATTATTCAGGGAAACATTAAAAAAAAGAAAAGCTTATAAAAGCAACCCATAAACATATAAGTGAAACTAACTGCCAGAATATTAGAGAAAATACTGCTGACACATATTGAAAAATATTTTTATATTTTATCTAATTGCAATATCTATAAAACTTAAGGAATCCCAACTTACAACTTGGAAACTTTAGGTTTAAATGTACCTATTTGCTTCATAATCTTGAAAAAATAATATAATCTTTCTAGGGCTAAATTTAGTCTTGAATTTAGTACAGGATTCTGAGAAAGACCTTTTTAAGCTTTCTAAATATAAATCAGTGTAAAAGAATTATATAAGAGACATGTCACAGTCAGTCCCCAACCCATCTTCTTTCAAAGCTCAATTATTTAGACTACCTGCCCCGATGTTCCAGAAACTACAAGTTCTGACTCACTTTCTCTCTTCTTTGTAATGTAGTATCCATGATGTGGATTTTCTTGCTTTCTGGACATCATTTTCCTTCTTCTCAGTCTTGATAATTTTTGCTTATCTTTAATGTTTTGCTGGAATGCTGGCAGCTCCTCCGTAAACTTTTGTTCAAATGGCCAGAACTGAGTGTGTTCTCTCATTTGTGTTCCCAGCACTTTGTGTATAAATATATTAAAATACTGATTATCCTATGAAAATTTGTTTATTGGTCTTTGAGCCTTATTATATAGAGTGTGCTCCCTTAAGCAGAGTCTGTTTCTCTCCAGGTGGCCACAATGCCTGACATGTACTAAGTTCTCAAGGTGTTGTTTGAGCGTTAAATAAATGGAACATAAGACAATGAATATTGCTACCATTTTGAAAATTTCCATTTATTTTGTTTTTATCTGCACTATTAATTGGGAAAATTGGAAAAAACGAAAAATGATCCAGACAAAAATACAGCAAAAAAAAGTTGCAATGTTAAAAAGGAAAAGTAAATCCCAATAAAAGAGAGAGATTTGATGTTTGGTGTAATAAATAAAGCAAATTGTAAAATTTTAGTTATTATAGGTCTTACAACAATATATGAAATAATCTCAGCCTCTCTTAAATATTATCTTGCTGTAGATGTATCCTGTAGTATATACCTAATATATCAGTGATTGACTTTTTTTTTCCTTGCGGTGTTCTAATACAAACACCAAGGTAGGAAACAACAGAACTTCAAAGATTACAGTATTTAAGAATATTATCCATAATCAATTCCTGGTGTGCACTGCTTGTTTTGATAAATCTTTCTAATAAAAAGCAATTTTAATGTATGAATTCCCTAAATATGAGCTATTTTGGTATACATATCTAAAAGAGGTCAGATTGTATATTTTTTTTTTCAGATTACATGTGATATATTGGAATCAGTGCATGCTATACTGAAATGCAGTTATTTTATTTTGTCATTCTTTCCTGTGCCCGGATTTGTGCTAGCACCAGGTGTTGATTGCAGTGTTCTCACTATTACACAAAAACCTCAGACTGACTCTAAGAATTTCGAACCAAAGAAACATAAAGCCTTCAAACCTGATTGTTTAAATTTCACATCATACATGTCAGATGGGAAACCAGATTGATTCATAATTAATATAATTCTTAAACTGGATAATAATTATGCTAGTAACAAAACTCATCAATTGAATGTATTATGAATAGAGAAAACAAATTTGTATTATTTGACTTAGAGAACCACATGCTGACTCTGGTCATGTTCCCAGGACCATGTGACCCAGGACATGGTCTTAAAATGAAAAAATTCAGTTGTATTTGAAGCCCATTAGGGACATTGACACTAGACAACACAGTGTTGAACCATCTTTTAAATCATGGATCATTCCAGAATACATAATTGGATTTGTATTCCATATTGCTTTTTGTTTAAACAGTTTAACAAAAACTAAAATAACCAAATCTTAATTGCAGAACAGTCTCCTTTCATTTCCTATCTGAAAGATATGAAAATGAGAAAATAGTAGATAACATTTCCAAAGGATTCAGATAGGTAGAGTTATTCTGTAAAATTGTTTTGAAATTCAAGTTGGTTTTCATGCTCTTGCAAAACTGTATTCACAAATGTCAATAAAATATATAAACCTAGCTTTACAATGGCTATGCTAATCCAATTTTCAATTTGCTGCTGTAATATAAATGTCAGTTCATGGGCCATCAGGTACTTACCACCCCAGCGCTCATCACACACTGTAAAGAGGGTGGTTTTATTGGCTAAGCCCGGGAACATGGAGCTGCACTCCATAACGATGGCCTGAGGAATCATTATAATGCAGGAGACAATCCAGATGATGACAATGCTGTTACGGGCCCGCTTTGCTGTGCTCTTAAACATCAAAGGGTGACAGATTGCATACCACCGATCCAAGGCGATACAGCTCAATGTGAGGACAGACACAGACACTGACACGGTCTAGAGAAAAGAAAAATCATAGTAATAGAGAAGCACCAGCTGTTAAAATAGTTACTCTTAATATATTTACTATATAAGAAAGGTAGTCACGACATATAAGCAAATTCAAAGTTGCCAAAAAAAAAAAAAATACATGCAAGTGCTTTCTATTTAAAAAGAAATTATATCGAAAAGAAAAATGAAATATTAGAAATATATTTTTAAATGTATGTTTATTGTTAAACATGAAAATGTATGATGAAAACTTGGCAATCTTTTTTTTATTCCAAATGTCTTAATTTAGAATATGGCATTCTTTAAATAATTACTGTAATTATTTTGTCCTATAACTTTTCCATTGATTGGAAGAAATCATACCCTCATATAGAAAAAATAAAATAAAACACATATGTTTAGTCCAAACTGGAAAAGCCTCACTTATAAAGAAAAATATGTCTTTCTTTTAAATTATCATATAGACATTTGATTTAAATTATATTTAATTAACATTTTTTAATTATAGGTAGCTTATTTCATATTTTCAAATAATAAGGGCTATTTGTACATCAGTGCATTTTCAACATGTAGCACCCAAGGAAAGTTACGAGTCATGTTAAAAGAGAATTCTGTATGCGAATCTCCTTATGACAGTTTGCTTACTGCTAGCCTAGGCAATGTGACTCCAAAAACTAGATAAGCTCACCCAGTCAAAATTTTTATATGATTAACAACACCACAAATCATTCTTTAACTTGGCACTTTAAGGAAATAACAACAGCAGCAAAAAAAAAAAAAAAAAAAAAGTTAAAAATGTCTAGATCCACATGATTAGTTGATGTAATTATGTTCAATGTGCTTTCTTATACTGGATGAAATACTGATTCTGATATCAGTCTCAGAATCCCCTCTCCCTTTAAAAAGACTTTTGATTTCTTTTACATTTTTTTTTACAGATTGTTATTTATTTTCTTTTCAGCAAGTATAAGGTAGTAAATTATTCACTTAATTTGCTTATTTATCGTCTGTTTTCTCTATTGGAACAAAGCTCTATGCTAGGAGGGACTGCTTCTGTTTTTTTCACAACTGTGTCACCAATATCTGATACAACATTTGATGTCCATTATGCATTTAATAAATATTTTCTTTTTAACTTCTATTTTAATTTCAGGGGTACGTGTGCAGGTTTGTTACATAGGTAAATGTCTGTCATGGGGTTTTGTTGTACAGATTATTTCATCACCCAGGTATTAAGCCAAGTATCCATTGCTTATTTTTCCTGATCCTCTCTCTCCTTCCACCCTCTACCCTCTGAAAGGCCCCAGTTCTCACTTATAAATGAGAACATGTGGTATTTGATTTTCTGTTCCTGCATTTGTTTGCTAAGGATAACGGCCTCCAGCATCATTCATGTTGCTGCAAAGGACATGATCTCATTCTTTTTTATGGCTACATAGTATTCCATGGTGTATATGCACCACATTATCTTTATCCAGTCTATCATTGATGGACATTTAGGTTGATTCCACATTTTTGTTATTGTGAATAGTATTGCAACGAATGTATACTTGCATGTCTTTAAAACAAATATTTGTTAATCCATTAATAGTGGTGAGCCTTAATTGAAGACAGTAGATGTAGTCCAGTCATCTTCCTCTATTTTTCTGTCCTGGTTATATTGATCTCATAATATGTGGAAAGGGTAGATATCTCAGTCTTTTACATGAGTACTTTTCTTGTTGATATGTTGATTATAGGTACAAACGAGTGAAAGAGATCTAAGAGCCAGTGCAACAGTGCAGGAAGTCTCTGGGCTGTCAGGATGATCTATCTGTTCTCTCTCTCTGATCATCTAGCTGCACACTATTGACTCACTCACTTTACAGCTTTGGGCCTAATGTGTGTGTTATGTGTTGTGTGTTGTGTGTTGTGTGTGTGTGTATGCTAAATGAAGGAAATCAACAGGATAAGATTCTTACCAACTATTATTCTTTTGTTTCTCTATGGGAGAAGCAGAAGGGTATAGTTGGAATCAAGTTGCAACCAGGTTTTCTGGGCATGAATCCCATCTGACTAACGGAGTGATCTTAGGGAGGTTATTTAACCTCTCCATTCCTCAGTTTTCTCATCTGTAAAATGTGGATGATTAATAGTACTTAACCATGCAATTGTATGGACAGTTAGTTGAGATGAAAATGTCTATTCCAAGGCTGGCATATAAGTGCTGTGTGTTTGCTATTACTTATGATTATAATAATAATTACAATAATGATTATACTATTAGTTTTATCTTTCATTCTTGAGCTTGAAGTTCTATATTTTAATTGGAACAGATAGCTTTTCAAAGAATATTCATAAAATTACAAGTGAAAGCCTAACCTTTGCTAAATTATTGGAGACTAATATCATTTTGAGTGTAATTTTAAAGGGCTGGACTCTGTGAGAATGGGCTTAAGTTGATTAGTGACTCCTGGAAATTTCTTAGTGCTACCTTAGAGTACCTTCAATTTCCTTTCTCAAACCAGTCTCACCTTATTCTCTACAACCTCCATTCCTTCTCTGCAAATAAGTTAAGCACCTCAGGCCCCTCAATACCATTGCTAACCTGGGAATAGAACTATGGTTGTATAGATTTGCACAGTAGCCTTTTCATAGCTTCTGGGCTAGAGATATATTAATCCTCTCTAGCAACTAGAAGTACAAAGTGTTCATCAAGGCTTAGCAATTTATAATCCATTAAT